GGACAGCGCAAGTACTTCTATCATTTAAGCGGGTAGAACACAAGTCATCAGGGCAGTTATTTGAGATTTGACTCTCAGCGGCGGGAGATTTGACTTACTGAGATTTGAGATTTGTGTGTGTGTGTGTGTGGGTGTGAGTTGCGAGTGTGTGTGTGTGTGTGTGTGAGTGAGTGAGTGAGTCTCTCTCTGCGCGTGTGTGTGTGTGTGTGTGAGTGTGTGTGTGGCGCAAGAGGAACGGGTTGTAAACAGCTGATGGGGTGATCTGGATTAGTCTCTAGTGTCTCCGATCATTAACCTGTGCTGATGATGAACACTAGATGGAGTCATATTCTAACAGCTGAAAACACACACAGGAGGAGGGCACACATTATAAACTAATGCCAAATTACATGCGCATCTTTCTGAATCTTTCTGATACAGGACGTTTTTAAAAGTCACCTGACAGACATTAAGACGCTGACGTAACCGGTGTGTTTCAGCTATTTTCAGCAAAGCGATGAGACACAAAACTCGACACATCCCTCAGCAGACGGTCTGCCCGTGTTTAGCAGAAGTGCGTACGCTGTTTAAAAGCAGAACACGTCTTCAGTAGAGCTGCTCGCGGCTCGAGGCTCGTGACGGAGATGTGATCATCAGTAGTGACGCTCGGACAGATGCTCTCCGCGCTCGGCTGGTTCTGCTTCTCGGAGGTAATGCCCTTCTGCTTTATTTGCGTTAAACCTAGACGCACGACATCCATCTGATGAATAACGCTCATCGAGGGTGTTTAGCTCGTCTTGCATTCAGAGACTCGGCCGTGTGGTGTTCATTCTGAGGTAATCTGTTGTTTTTCTATTGCAGGTGTGATGGCGAACGCGCTGTTCTCCGCAGCTGCGCACGTTTAACCGTTAAACCAGACATGGTGCGCCGTCAGGGACCGGTTCTGCCGGTTCTGCTGGTTCTGCTGGTTCTCAGCGGCGGGAGTTCTGCTTTACCGGACCGGGCCAGCGCCGATGCGCAACACGACACCACCGACAGTAATAACACCAATAAATACACCAATCAAGACTCTCTGGGAACCACCGAGCGCCTACCAAAGCTACAGGACAACAGCAGTGCTGTGAGACGGTGGCGCGTTCTGGGGGACCCCGGGCCCTTGTGCGCTTACCGCACTCTCGACGCAGGTGACCCCGGGCCTCTGTGCTTCCGCTACGCCCAAACCCACTTCAGGTGCGCTAGCGCTAGCTGTCGACAGGTGAGCTCACCTGGAGGGCAACTCACGGCGAATATTCTGTCCAACGGAAGTGTGTTCATTCAGTGGACGGTCGCTCACGAGGCCCCGCCGAAGGGCCCCGCTCCACATCAACCGGGCGGGTTCAGGCTTAGCTGCTGGTGGAACGGAAGCTACACGCAATTCGAATGCGCCGGCGTTCATTTAGGCGCCGGCTGCAGGGATTATTTACTAAACGAGCTGCACACGAACGTGCCCTACCGGCTGTGCGTGCGGCCCTACGACCTCGAACGGGACGAAGCCTGCGTGGAGTTCAGCCTCGCGCCCGGCGGGATGCAGGACATCGTTATCGCCATGACGACGGTGGGCGGAGCCATCTGCGTGATGCTGGTCATCATCTGCCTGCTGGTGGCCTACATCACCGAAAACATCATGAACCCGACGGCGCAGCACACGCTCGCGGCGCAGCACTCGCACAGATCGCACTTACACACGCACCTGTGAAAACATCGTTATCGTTATCGTTATCGTTATCGTCACGCAAACACACATGCGCACTTTTCCTACAACCAAGTGCGGAATCCACGTCAAACTGCACTTTCACGACACTATTTACCGGCTGCGTTCGGAATGGCGTACTTAGCTACTAGTTAACCGAATACTGCGCGGTGTGCGCGGTCTACTACTTTAGAGAAATAGCAAAGTAGGCACTGTTCTGAAATGGTGGCGTGCTACTCATCGTGTCGCATGTGGGTGGCGTCCAGTTCTTAGAAAAGACTGTTTGCATGTTTTAGCGCAATTTAAAATGTTGGCAGTCACACACGGAGTTGCGAAAGGGATGCAGTATTCCGCAGAAATAGTAGGAATAATATGACAATTCCGAACATAGCCATCCCTTACGAAAATTAACCAGGATTTTATTGTAGTAAAAGTGTACAGTAGTAACCATGGTTTTTCTGGCGTATTGATTACCATTTGTATAACCACAGTTTTAACTATGGTTAGCGTAACAAAACCATGTGGTTACCAACGCTTCGCTTTTTTCCTGTGTTTATGTGCATTTTCATCTATAGTCTCGTTTAATACTCCCTACATTTACCAAAAAACTGTGCACTCGTTGACATTTAGACTGATAGCTATATTAATATTTGTTTCAGAAATGCAAAATAACGGCACATGATGGCTTTGCGTGAGGTGTTTTCAGGCTCAGTGAGTGTAGTAAGGAAGGAAAGCTGCTTTACTGTTATCCGAGCCACGCTGTAGTTTTGTACTCTGTGTGTCAAACCCAATAATTTACAGTATGCCTTATCTTTACACGACTCGTCTCATTCTGAGTTAGTAGTATTCGCCAAAATAAGGACCCACTGACTGGCGGAACAGTCTTTTGAATACTCTGCTTTTTCCTCTGTTATATAAACCTTTTGTGTCAATAAACGAGGGTGAATTTAATAAACAGGCTTGCTTTGTGTTTTGTTTATTGGGTTTACTGTTTTTTGGCTTTTCATTAAGTATTTTGTTCAGGCTAATGGAAAGAAAGCATCCAGAATACACCTTCAAGTGTTTCTTTCATAGCACTGTATCTATTTCTGTCTGTAGATTTCTATTACAACACGTATCTCCAAAGGCTGCTTTCCCAAAATGAGATTTTTCTGCTACATACACCAACCTTTAGTTTTATTACTATCTATATTCCGAAGGTTTTTATGGAGTGATAAAAACAGATATCCAAAATCCCAAACCTTTGAGTCTACACTATGTCAACAAAATGAAACAATTTTGAACCTGGCTTCAGCCGATGTTGACATTTTTGTTCTAGAAATGTATTATTTGCATATTTCAACATAGCATTTCAGAAAACATTTAATGCAAAAAAAAAATAATGTTTGTAATTCTAATGTAGGTATGGTGATATTATCTATAAGTTGATTTTTTTACCCTGTTCACCTGGGGTGTGTCGCTTTGATATTTTTATGTCCTAAAAGGAACCGATATGCACAAATTATACCGTCATCCAAAATATGCAAATGAAGTATGTTCTGTCGGCGTCGAAGCCCCGCCCACGTCCCCTCCCCCCATTGTGACGCCTGAGTGACAGCTGCGCAGCGCCGCCGCCATTTTCTTCTCCTCAGCGGAACCGAGTCGAAGCGCCGAACCGAGCTCTCTCCCCGGGCTGTAGATAGCGATGCCGGCCCATCCGCTGCGCGTCGCGGTCGTGTGCTCCAGCAACCAGAACCGCAGCATGGAAGCGCACAACATCCTGAGGTAACGACGAGAAACGAGCCCAGTTCGTCCGCCTCCCGCGATTCTCCCGTCGGTTCCTCTTGTGTGTGTGTTTTGATCCGTGTCCAGATGAACCGAACCGGTACAGTCAGACCTCGAGAACCGAACCGAGCCGGAATCATTTCCCCCAAAAACGCGTCCAGAAACACGGAAGCTGATGGAGATCGTCTGAAAGCCTGAGCTGAGAGAGTTCTGGAGTAAAGTAGTCGGACTGAACTAAGGCTGTAGTAGAGGGCTAGTAGTGCTACACTGATGCGACAGCACGAAGCCTTACTCTAATCATTTACTGTGGTGTTCATAATAATACCGCACTACGTGATCTAGATCCTCGGAACCTCTCGGATGCAGCGGGTCCAGTAGACGTCCGTCAGGGAAGTGCGGCTGTGAGGGACTCAAGCACTGCATTCACTAGTCTTCCTGATGAGCCCTCAAAGCCATCCGAGGCCCTGGAGCACGAACCAGTCAGAAGGGCCCATTTTATGGACAATATTTGAGAATCTGAGGGTGCAAAAAAATCTGAATACTGACAAAATCATCTTTAAAGTTCTTAGCCATGCATATTATAATCAAACTACGTTTTAATGTAGGACGTTTACTAAATATCTTCATGGAACATGATCTGTACTTAATATCCTAATGATTTCTGGCATAGAAGAGAAATGTATAATTGTGACCCATACAGTTGTGCCCGGCGACTCGAGACGGTTCTGTGCTGCAGGTCTGAGATGATGATTGCATTAAACGCTTGTCCCTCACAGCCTGCTGTGTGTTCAGGTAGATCAGGCAGCTCAGGGAGGTGTGTTTGTCGTTCTGAGGTCTTGTGGATTCTCACCGTCTCTGTGTTGCTCCCACAGCAAGCGAGGGTTCGACGTGCGTTCCTTCGGCACGGGAACCCACGTGAAGCTCCCAGGACCCGCTCCGGACAAACCCAACATTTTCGACTTCAAAACCACTTACGAGCAGATGTACAACGACCTGGTCCGTAAAGACAAGGAGCTGTATCCCTAGCTTGCACGCAGAAATACATCGATTAGATCGATGATCGATTAGAGCACCGACCAAATGCACAGTCAAGGTTCTCTGTTGGCATTGATGGCTCCATGAAAAATCCGTGGAACCACTCTTTTGTAAACGAGTGGAAAAAGTGGTTTAGATTTCAAAATGTTCTTCACACTAACACCGTGTCCGTCCACGTTAATCAGAGATTTTGTCCCGGCTAGCCACGACACGCACAATTTCTATAACATACAAACTACACGACAGTGACAATCTCCGGTACTGATTATGTGCTTAATTCAAAGCTAAACGTGTCTAATATGAGTTTGGATAACATTCTGCGTGACCTTGTAGCCGTACTGAAAGCAACAACAGATAGTTTAGCTCAGATCTTGACAATAAAGCAAACAAACATTAAAATTGCGAACCGAAAAGTATATTCTGTAACAAAGATGGTATCAGACACGCAGTTTGTACATTTAAAAAGGTTTGATATTTATGAATTGGGTTCTTCATTTCTTCGAGTGCAGAGCACTTCCAGAGGCTCCGCCCACACACGCTTCTGATTGGCTGTCATATCTGATCCTGCGTCTGGTGTGGACACCCAAACGGTTTGTCGCTGGAAACTTGTCACGTGTAGTTACGACTAGGGTTGCAAAAAGGAGGGAAATGTCCATTCAATTTCATTTTTGGAAACATTCCAGACATTTTTTTTAATTATTCCAGGCTTTTTTGGAAACTTTACAGAAATTTTGTAAACTTTCCAGGATTAAAAAAAAAAAATTATTCCAGGCATTTTTGAAAACATTCTAGAAATTTTGGAAACTTTCCAGGATTTTTTTTTTTTATTATTCCAGGCTTTTTTGGAAACTTTCCAGAATTGTTTTTTTATTATTCCAGGCTTTTTTGGAAACTTTCCAGAATTGTTTTTTTATTATTCCAGGCTTTTTTGGAAACTTTCCAGAATTGTTTTTTTATTATTCCAGGCTTTTTTGGAAACTTTCCAGAATTGTTTTTTTATTATTCCAGGCTTTTTTGGAAACATTCCAGAAATTTTGGAAACTTTCCAGGATTAAAAAAAAAATTATTCCAGGCATTTTGTAAACTTCCAGGATTAAAAAAAAAATATTCCAGGCATTTTTGAAAACATTCCAGAAATTTTGGAAACTTTCCAGAAATTTTTTTTTTTATTCCAGGCTATTCCAGGGTTGCAAAAAGGAGGGAAATGTCCATTCAATTTCATTTTTGGAAACATTCCAGACATTTTTTTTAATTATTCCAGGCTTTTTTGGAAACATTCCAGAAATTTTGTAAACTTTCCAGGATTAAAAAAAAAATATTCCAGGCATTTTTGGAAACATTCCAGAAATTTTGGAAACTTTCCAGGATTAAAAAAAAAAAATTATTCCAGGCATTTTGTAAACTTTCCAGGATTAAAAAAAAAATATTATTCCAGGCATTTTTGAAAACATTCCAGAAATGTTGTAAACTTTCCAGGATTTAAAAAAAAATATTCCAGGCATTTTTGAAAACATTCCAGAAATTTTGGAAACTTTCCAGGATTTTTTTTTATTATTCCAGGCTTTTTTGGGAAACTTTACAAGATTTAAAAAATATTATTCCAGGCTTTTTTGGCAACTTTCCTGAAATGTCCACCCCTTTGCAACCCTAGTTAGAACACAGTGTAAGAAAGAGAATGGGTTGTTTTAGCAACTCTTCACGAGGAACCCAGAATGACTCTTTTATGGCATCGCTCTGCACAACCATTTTTGGGATCTTTAATTTTTTTTAGCGCGATTATCTTAGGAGCTGCAATATAATGCATCGTTTAAATTGTACGAGCCTCTGTGTTTTAGCGACTGAAGATGAGCTCTACGTTTTGTTCTTCTGAACTCCATGAACGGTTCCTCGCATCAAAAGGATAGTTGACCCAAATCAATCGTTACTCCCTTTTTGTCGTTCCGAACCTGTATGACGTTCTACTGCGAAAGAAACGGAAGTCAGTGTGTCCAGTGTGTGTGTGTTCGGTTCCCAGTGTTGTTTAAAATATCTTCTGTTGTGTTTCACCGAAGGAAGAAAGTCATACGGGTTTGGAACGACATTGCGGTGGGTAAATACGTAACTTCTCTGTAGGAGAAATTCTGCTGCGTTTGCTGCAACTACACAAGAGAGACGTCTAAATGCATTGGTGAAAAGACGAGGGAATATTTACTCCATGGGCAGTAAATCTTCTCTTGGGTTCATCAGCAGCTGGTTTATGTCTGCTCTTTACTCACACGAAGTATAACAACTTCACAAAAAGATTGGGGGGTTATTTCCCACTTTGTTACACTTGTGGTATTTCCATTCTAAAATGACCGTACTATTAAATCATGCTGGTTTTCCCAAATAACGGATTCCGTGTTTTTACTAGCTTGTTGTCTGTCAATCAGCACAGGTGTTGTATTTCATTTTGGAGCTGATTGATCGTAGGCTTCATTGATCTGAGCTCACGCTCCTCAACTTTTAAATGAAAAAGCATTATTTGTGGATAATTTTGTCAATGTTCGCTCAAACTGAAATGCAAAACCTGTGCTGATTGACAGACAACAAGCTGACGGAAAGATTGAATCCAAGCGTTTGGAGATGATGCAGCGTAATGAGAGATTTACAAGCTGTTTTGTAATTATGTAAAGGAACAGAATAAACGTAGATTCAAGATATGCAGTCTATAAAAACATGCCTTAATATTTAAGTACATTAGTCATTCTAAAGATTTTTAGACATTTCTAATACACCAAAAACTACTTTTTGCTTTGTTTTCACCTGATGAGTGATGAAACAGGTGAAACATTTTAATTTTAATTAAGCGTACTTGCAAAAATAAGAATAAAACAACTACACTCTAAAAAATGCTGGGTTGTTTCAACCCAACTTTGGGTCAAATATGGACTAACCCAACCGTTGGGTTACATTTTTACGTTACATTTTTAACCCAAAAGTTGGGTTAGTCCATATTTGACCCAAAGTTGGGTTGAAACAACCCAGCATTTTTTCGAGTGTAGATTAGCAGCGGTGTGAAAATCAGAACTCCTGTTCAAATCTGTAGCCATTCCTGATGAATGATCATAACTAGTCTACAGTGGACTAGTTATGTTTTTCTTGATAGTTTGATGTTCTCTGGACCATGAACTGGTTTAATTGCACTGCTTATAATTGGACTCTAGTTCTGAGTTGTCTGTGTAGTTGAGTTTAAGGACATCAGAAGGGGTTTCCCGAGGTTGACCAATAGATAGCACTGGTGTATGTTTCCAGTTGTTTAACCCTTTGCAGACACGAGGATGGATGTGTTCTGGAGCCTCCAGTGTTTTGTCTTCCTTGACCGTTCTGCTCCTCAGATACACACAGAACGGGATCCTGCACATGTTGGACCGCAACAAGCGCATTAAGACGCGGCCCGAGCGCTTCCAGAGCTGCAAAGAGCAGTTTGACCTGGTGATCACGTGTGAGGAGCGTGTGTACGACCAGGTGCTGGAGGGTGAGGAGCATGTGTGTGTGTGTGAGTGTGAGCGAGAGAGAGTGTGTGTGAGCGAGAGAGAGTGTGTGTGAGCGAGAGTGTGTGTGTGTGCGAGAGAGTGTGTGTGAGCGAGAGTGTGTGTGTGTGTGTGTGTGAGTGTGAGCGAGAGAGAGTGTGTGTGAGCGAGAGTGTGTGTGTGTGCGAGAGAGTGTGTGTGAGCGAGAGTGTGTGAGTGTGTGAGCGAGAGTGTGTGTGTGTGTGAGCGAGAGTGTGTGTGTGTGAGAGCAAGTGTGTGTGTGTGTGAGAGAGCGAGAGTGTGTGTGTGAGAGAGCGAGAGTGTGTGTGTGAG